ATCTCAGACAGGTGAATGTCCAGTCTCCCCTTAAAAATCTCCAGTGATGGAGCGCCCACGATTTCTGTCAGGAAATTTCTCCTCAATTCCAAGTTGTTTCTCTCACGTGCCTTTAGAAAGTCTCCATTTGTGGTGTGTAGATGGGTCTGGATGTTGTTGGTTTTTTTTCTCACTATTTGATTTTGCTGGTTACAGGAAGCGATGGCTGAATTTTCTGCAGTTGGCAAATTGACGTTGGCTGAGCCCTTTCTTGAAAAGGTGTCAAACTTTAACAGTGGCGCATCCCCATTCCAGAAGCATCTGCCAGCCTATGAACCAGGATCTCTCCGGAGAGACGGAAGCATTGCAATAATGCCAGCAGAGGGCAAAGAATGCTCTGAGGACACTGGCATCTGTGAGTGTTGAGTCTGGTCCTGGATGCCAGAGGATTTCTAGCAGGTTATAGTTACATTAAGAGAGATGGTGTCGTCCCCAACCTTTTTCACAGCAGGGACTGGCTTTTGGAAAAGACAATTTTTTCCATGGGGAGGGGGGAGACACAAGAGGATGATTTCATGTGTTATCTAGATCCCATGCAGATGCGGATGTAGCTTCACTCGCTTCTGCGGCCTGGTTCCTAACAGGCTGATGATGGGTACTGGTCCACAGCCCCCTTGGTTTAGTGGTTAAAACAGGGGTGTCAAACTCGCAATATTACATGACGTGTCATGACGTATCATGACTTTTTCCCCATTGCCGGAGCTGGGGTGGGCGCGGTTTCGGCATGTTTGACACCCCTGGGTTAAAACATCAGACTAGAAACTGGAAGGCCATGAGTTCTAATGTTGACTCAGGCACAAAGTGAGCTGGGCGACCGTGGACCGTGGACTTTCTCAGCCTTAAGAAGGAAGCAGTGGCAAACCATTTCTGAAATTTTGCCAAGAAAACTTCAGGGACTTTTCCTGGCAATTGCAAGGTATCAACACTGACTTGTAGGCACACAAACCCACAGTTACATTACAAGTGAAGCAAATCACTCCATTCGTTCAGTGAATTACCTGGTTGTTAAGCGAATCAGGCTTCTCCCCCCCCCCCACTGACTTTGCTTATTGGAAGCTAGCTGGGAAGGTCGCAAATGGCGATGACCCAAGAACGGTACCACCATCTATATAAATAAAAATGTAAATGTTCGTTTGTTCAAAATCTTAAATCTCCGAAAGTTCTTCACCGATTGCTTTGAAATTTTGACACAACGTTGCATTCAAATACGCGCGTGTTTTTATATACCTATATTATATAGATGTCACACCTGTGACAGGTAAAAACATGCTTTTTTTGAAAAACAACGCCATCTGTTGGACGTAAAAGCAACACACGCTTTTACCAGACTGAGCCACAGCAACGCGTGGCCGGGTACAGCTAGTAATAAATATGTTAGTTGCCAAGCGCCTAAATTTTTATCACGTGACAACACAAGCGTGAGGACGGTCATAAGTCTTTTCTTGTAATTTTTAATGGTTGCTAAACGAATGGCTGTAAATTGAGGACTACCTGTAGATTATTCAGTTGTTTCTTTGCTGTGGTACTACTGTCATACTGTTATACCGTTGCTTGTCTTGGAATCTGCAGATTAAAAGATGTACCTAAATAACTTGATACTCACTGCTGCCTCTCTTCCCTCTCCATTTCTAGATAGCTTGGGTGCCAATAGCTTGGGTGCCAATCAGTGCTTTCACTGCCTGATTACCTTCCCTGACGAGAAATTCAAGGAACGGCATATGAAGCGAGAACATCCGGAGGACTTCGTTCAGGCCAATTTGCGGGATGCCCTGTTTCTCTGTTTCATTTGTAAAAAGGCTTTCAAGAGTTCCCGGGCACTTATCTGTCATCAGCGAAGCCATGCCACGCCCTCACCCTCGGATTACAACGACTGCTTGCACCCCATCTTTGGCTGTCCGGACTGTGGCCGCCGTTTTGACCAACTGGCCAACTATAAGCATCACTGCCAAGGACAGGCGGCGGGCCATAGCTCACCTCATCAGTGCTCCGATTGCGGCAAAAGTTTCCGGCAGATCTCCAGCCTGCGTCAACACCAGGCTTTCCACCGGCAGACACAGGAGTTGCTACCCTCCTGGCCCTATTCCTGCATGGACTGTGGGGAGAGTTTTAGCTACGAGGCAGGCTTGCACGAGCACTATATCCGCCATGCTCGCGGGGAGCTCTAGCACTGGCACTAACCAATCCCTCTGCTTCCTGAGTCTGGGTGGGGAATGGAAGGCAATGGACATTGCTGCCTGGGATGGAGAGCCATATTCCCCCTTTTTGGGGGGGGGGATGGAGGGCTACTTATGCTCTCTTTCGAAAGATAGCTCAGAATCTGTAAAGAAACATTTCCCTAACTCGGCGTTTTTCAACCTTAGCAGCTTTTAAGCTGTGTGGACTTCAGCTCTCAGAATTCCTCAGCCAGCGTATAGGTCAGGGGTAGGCAGCCTTGGCTCTTTTATGACTCGTGGACTTCAACTCCCAGAATTCCTGAGCCAGCCATGCTGAGGGGAAAGGGAGAGGTTTCCAAGCTGAGCCATGCTGGCTCAGGAAATCTGGGAGTTGAAGTCCACCAGTCATAAAAGGGCCAAGGTTGCCTACCCCTGGTATAGGTAGTCCTTGACTTACAACAGTTGAGCCCAACATTTCTCTTGCTAAGCAAAACACTTGTTAAGTGAATTTTGCCCCAGTTTACGACCTTTCTTGCCACAGTTATGGAGGGAACCACTGCAGGTGATAAGCCAGTAGAAGGGTGGCTAAGTGAAGTTGGCCTCCCCGTTGACTTTGTCAGAAGTTCACCAAAGGGGATCACATGACCCCAGGACATGGCAGCCCATCATAAATATGAGTCAGTTGCCAAGCATCCGAATTTTGATCATGTGACCATGGGTGGTAAGTGTGAAAAACGGTCATTTTTCCCCCCATGCTGCTGTAAC